ATCAAAATTTCACTCCCTGTGACTTTACTGCTACATTCCCACCCCGTAAGAAGGTCATATCATCTCTTGTCCTGTCTAGAAGCAGCCTCGGACAGAAGCCGAGACATAAAAATAAGGAGGAATAGAATTTCTCAAGACCCATACCAAATGCTTGCACCTGCTACTTAAAGTCTGTGGCAACTAGAGGTCAAGGAAGGTACGAGCTTATCTGGAATAGAGAATATACCTCAGACGTTTTACAGAAAATCAAATATGAGTACAGTGACTTTGACTTTAAAAACAAATACATTTAAATAAATCTATTAAAGAATTAAAACTTTGCCCTTAAAATATCACAAGCTCTAGCAATTCATTAATTTGAAAACTTCTTAGGATAAAATATTTCAACATATCAAATGTATTAGTCAACTTTCTGATGTTCATGAAATCTTTCTAATAAAGCTCTTAGCATGTTTCCTGGTGGTTTTTCATGTCTGTCTCTTAGAGTCTAAACTGCAATTTTTGCCTGTTAAGAAATGAAAAAAGAAAAACAAACACACCTGGTAGTTGCAGGAACTTCAGTCTTTATATTCATGACATACACCGGTAAAATATGTCATCTAAAAGGCTTTAGGATTTATTTTCTGATCTGAAGTTGCAGTTATACAGGCAACATTTGGAGGGAAAACCCCCCTAAGAAACTAATTTTGAAGAGTTTCTAGCTACCGACATGTTACCGTATACTTGACAATAGCTTAATTCCTCCAAAGAAGTTTGCTCATACGGAGCTCAAGTAGGACTGGTGTTTATATCCAGTTCATTCTCAATGATGGTTATGTATGTGAAATCTTCCCTGTATCATAAAAGCAACAAGAGATATGGAATAAATAATTAGAAGATATTGGAAATGCAGCAAACATGAAGTACCAGGAGACAAGGAAAGAAAACCTGAAGAGGGAGGAATACCTCTCTGAAGTGTTGAGCTATATATAAGGAATATTCTGCAGTTTTGTAGTTGCAGGCAAAAAGCAGCTAGAGGCTGCTTCACAGCATGAACAGTCCAATGCACATCAGACCATAACAGAATATCTGTTTATTGATAATGAATTTTTTTCCTTGGAATGTATGAATGAAAAAAAAGTGATTTTCATCAAATATTTCACCTCTACCTCTTTGCTGGCTTTGTACTGAAGGCAAGAGGTCTTGCAGAAGGGAGAACTAGATCCTTCATAGTTTACACTTTTATACATACACGGCAAGTATTTTATCGTGCTGAACACAAGTGATTTCTTTTGAAAGCTTTCCTGCATCCCAAGGGCCCGAAGGAAAACCTTCCGCCCTGGCGGCTGTTCCTGCCTTTCTGCCAGAAGCCGCTGCTCTCACACACCAGCCGATCAAACAGCTCGCGCGGACGCTCCTGGCCTGTTTCAAACTGAATCAGCCTCTTTGGTTCACCTTGCTTATTCACATATTAGACTAACCCAGCTTATTTTATCTCTGGTGAACCTAATGGTCACAAACGCTCTCCCTCCCGAGCAGCGCTGCGGGGATGGTAATTACCAGCGGGGGAGCATCACTAAACCAGCGAGCACAGTAACATCTTTCACTGCCTTGTCTCCTTGCTAAGTCATCACCTGGCCACGGCTAGAAGAGCTTTATTTTAGAGCTTGGAGAGCCAAGAATAAAAACAATTTAACAATACGTTATTTAACTTACATTATTTCTAGGATGTCATCCAACATCATGTTTTCTCTGGTGGCAAACCAGGTTTAGTAAGTCCCCAGCCCTTGCTCCCATGTCCCTCTCATGTTCCTCTTCGCTTTTGGCAGTCATCAAGAGAAACTGTGCTCAGAACTGGATCAGGCAACCGGTATTTTAAAAGCACTGAAAAATCAAGGGGTGTGGAAAGAGGATGGAAAGGAAATTTCTTGGATATACCTTAGATAAAATGTAATGTTAATAAAAGAGACACAGAGCAGGAAAAAGGGCACTGCTATGCTTTATGTTAATAACGCTATATTAATGGCTTCTGGAAAGCTATGCCCCGTTAGCAATTGTGAGCAATAGCACACCACAGATTTCCTAAGACTAATGTCTTAGAAGTCACATGATTTCTGTAGTGATAAATAAGCTCAGTTTGGGATAGGCTGTGAGAGTCAGTTGGGAAAGAGATCCAAAACTTTTAATAGGTATTTCTGTGAAAATGTTATTACTGAGTCCCATGCTCAGTTATGGTCAACAGCAAATCAAATGCTGGCAATTACAAGAAAATAAATAGAAAACGAAACAGAAAATATCATTATGCCACTATATATCATTCAAATTTATCTGGGGAACTACCATAGCACACATGGCTTATTTTTTTTCCTTAGCCTTGGTTAGCTACAGTTGGCCATGGCTGAAGAGGGATGACGGGGATAACTGCCCCTTTGGTTTGTCTCTTTATATTACTCTTTTTTCTTACCAGAATTACTGTATATACAAATTTATCTGTGAGTTTCATCAAAATATTTTAATCTAAAATATTTCTTACTTAGCATTCTCTCATACAATGAGAATATTTCCCTGGTATTTTACATGTGAAGTGACCAGCCTGTGCTCTGGCTGGATAAGCCAGCAATGAAGTACAAGGAGTCAGCAGGGATGGCTCCAGGGTGAGTGACGGACCATCTGGCATTTCTTCCACCCCACAAAGCTCCTGACCTGTCGAGAATATGAAACGTTATAACAGTAATTTTATACCAGTCGAGTTTTGAGGTAACAAAACCTCCTGATGGACCTGTCCTGGTAGCATGGCCTGGATAGTAACTGGTGGTATGGCAGGATTGTGAATGTAAACAGCCTGTGCAGATGGAACACCCAAAACTGCCTGGTCTGAGAAGAGGTTACCCCAAAACTGAGCATCAAATGAGGAAACTAATAATGACAACGTTTGTTTACAATAGGCATCCGTTGGATTAAGCAGCAACCAGGGCATTACCAAGAGGCTTTTGAGAAAAGAGTCAGCTTGAGGAGAAGTATAAAAGATGGAAGGAAATTTGTAACTGTGGGGTGAGACCTGGGAGTGCGAAGGCGCTCAGCGCAGCAGTCAGACCCCTGCCTCGGATGCTGCCAGGAGTCACCCCGCTGCCGTCGTGCCCCCATCTCGGCCTGACGTGGCATCCTCCCCGTCCCATGGGGAGAGCAGGGCTGACAGGACAGGGTGCAGTGGCAGAAGGACCCATAGCTCGGGGTGCCTGCGGGAACTTGTGGGGTGCCCTCTTGCCAGAGCACGGACTAGCAGGCGGCAGGGAGCTGCACTGCTACGCACAAAGCGGGAGCAGCCCCATCTCCAGCAGGAGAACGTGCACAGCCAAAAGAGGGGGGTGTGCTTGTCATGCCCTGTCCTGCGAGGGAGGGGTGTGCACACGTGAACATGCTCCTGTGGGATTAGAAATTTGATGGCTTAGTTATGAAAGGGTATTAGAAACTTGTAGGTGCTTTGTAACGTTTTGCAAGTGTCTCGTACTCTGCTTTATCTGTTGACCTGCTGATATTGATCCAGAATGTGACGTTCACTGACTGCCGGCTAATAAGTCAGTAAATCACTTTGATCCTGATTTGAGTTAAAGCCCGTGAGTCAAGCAAGCCTTCCCTGTCACACTCCCTTATGTTAAAAAAAGTTGTATGCTATTAAAAAAAGCAGTAAGCAATTAGCTTATCCCTGCAAGTATCCCTGAATCACACTCAAGTTACAGCAGCTCTTTAACTCAGATGATTGACTATTTCATTTCCTAGCACAAATGTAGTTAGGAACTAACAAGCTGCTTCTTGATCCTCTAATTATATCGCTCTTCATCTCAAAGAAAGTTGCTGGTTTGGTGCATTCCTGTGCCATTCCTCTCTATATGTGGTCACCCTTTAATATGAGCTTGTAACAGAGAAACAAAATTTCTTATTTGTAAGTTATATTTCAGTAGGTAGTCTCTCCTCACATTGGTCAGTGGTGTTTGCCACCAAACCATTGAACTTGGGGAAATACCTCCCAGATGAACAAACTGTCTATAGTTTCTCATAGTCACATGGTATAACTAAGGAAATTAAAAATACTTGATAGGCCTAGAGAGTGCAGAAAGAGCAGAATGAAATAAAAGTTTCCCATTCAGAAAAAAAACTTGAAAATAAAAATGCAGCTAAAGCTTTTGGGTCCTCAAATATGAACTGGGAAGCAAGATGGTTCAATGACTAGTTGAGAAACTAGTTGAGAAACAACATATCCCGTAGAATTTTACTGAAAAGACTAATCATGAAACACAGCAAATAAATTTAAAACCATATAATCCAAAGGTACCATGAAAGAAATACATATATAATTGTTATGAACTTAACAGAAAGAAAATAATAAAGTTACCAGTCACTTAAAGTTTTAACACAAAAAGAAGCTCTAGCAAGTGGCCAGACTATTGCTGCTACAGCTTTCCCCCGCTTCAGACATTAAGTTGCAAGTGAGGGCATCCTTTCATCT